AGATACATAGGATTAGAAAGAAATGGAGAATCATGCTTTAAAGCTTACTAGGAGACCTACTTAACTCTATAAATCACGAGATTACTATTAACTGTAATGAAGATGCCAAACCATTTTTTTTTTTATGGAAAATAGAGAAATGTATTAAATAATAAAAAATTACAACAAAATCTCCATTTCATGACATATAGCCAAAATCAAAATAAACTAAGGACAAAATCAGAAGCATAACCTACAGTACTGGTAACAGACTTAAATTATGTCCATGACGAATATAAACAATTAAGCAAAGAGAGCCATCTGCAATTAGAAATTAAATTTACAATCGCTGTATAGGTTAAATAGGGCTACTAATGTAGAAAGGGGAGTTACTATGAGCAATAAGAACTACTAGACATTCTCACTTATTTAACCAGCTTCCTGGGGAGAGAAAGAGATTCCAGCAACAAACAGTCCCCAACCCACAAGTTGCTACCTTACTTGTTCTTAAAGAAGAACAACTAAGAAGGGTATCGGCATTTTCTTAACAAGCACAAGGCCCTCCAATCGCCTCCATATACTCCTAATCATGTTCCTATCTTTGCTGATCCTCTTCAAACCCATGCTATTGAAACTCATTAAGGGAACTAGAGCCCCTTTGTTGGCTTGAAAATCAGGCTTCCCACGCAGACCATAGCCGACCTTACCAACAGCATCCCTTTCCTTCGACAATCGGGTAGCTGATCAGGAACTAGTGTGAACCTATAAAGCTTTAAGGTTATTTCACATTCTGATGCTTAAGTTAATGATAATTTGGTCTACTCAAAAGAAAACAAAAAGAAAGTTTTAGGTTGGTTTCAATTACCTTTTACAAGGGTCAATTTAGTTTTAATTATCTTTTGCAAGGGACCCTTGGGGGTATTAATAGGCTTTAATGGGATGTTCACGTGTTTTTCTTAGTGAAATAACCAAGGTCTATCGTGGCAATCAGAGTGAACATCTTGGAAACAAAGATTAAGCCAGTACGAATTTATTGCAGTTTTCATGAAACTGGGAAGAGATCAACCTAAGTTGTACCTCGGTCATAAAGCAATTTGAGTTTGGGAATGGTTTGAGCGAATGACCAACAGTCTTGCTCATAATATGTTCAAAATGATTGATCTCGAACCTACACTTACACCTCATAACCTTAGATATTTCTAATACTAAACACTAACTTCATCAATAACTTTTCAAACACAAAAAAATCGAAACAACATCGGAATTCAGTGACTCAAAGTAGGATTTAACCTTCTCATATAACATGCTAGAAAGTAAGTTTGGTAGAAAGTATATTTATAAAGTATTTTTATAAAGTAGACTTGCACTACTTAATTCATCCTTAGAAAGACTACATAAATATATAAATGAGTAAACAAAAATTGGTGGAATGGGTAGGGTAAACAAAGGTGTGTACATATATATATATATATATATATTTGTAGTGTAAACTAAGAATTTTTTTTTTTTTGATAAATGGAATATATTATTGCTCAATAGTCAGAATCATCACATAAAGCAGTTGGTAGAGAATCAACCGAAACCCCTTCCCAAGGTGGAGAAGGTGAGTAAAGATGTGCTAGTTTGTGAGCCAAAATGTTGTTGTTTTTCCTAACATACTTGATACAAAGAGAATTGAATCTAGTTTTTTGAGCTTGGAGGTCTTCAACGATAGCACCAAAAGGAAGATAATAGTCATCAACAAAGTTTGCAATAGCTACCGCTTGTACATTATCGAATTCAATTTCCAGCTTTTTACATCCAAATTCCTTTCCCACCTGCAATGCAAAATTAATTGCCATCACTTTTGCTTGAAGAACCGATCCCTTAAAAAAGCAAATGCACAAGGCAGCCCCTAATACCTTACGATCACATTGCTGAAGCACTACTCCTAGGCTAACTAAGTTTTGGTGTTGTGGAACAATAGCATCAGTATTAATTTTAACTATATCCCCCCTGGTGGTTGCCAAACATTTGATGAGGCAGTTGCATTCGATAACTTGATCTGGTCATCAACTGCTGTTGCTGTGGTGTATTCTTTTATGTATTTGGAGATCCAAGTGACAGTGAATCCAGGTTGTGAGCATCTTTGCTGAAACAAACAACTGTTCCTATTGTTCCATATGCTCTAGAGTGTGACTGCAACATGTTCCCTCTCTTTGCTGCTAAGTGCCAAAAAAGAATTCAAGAAATCATCCAAGTAAGAGTCAGCTTTAATGTTACTGTTGTTGGAGAAAGGGCAAGAACTTGTCCAAACTCGTGCACTCCAAGGATAGCTGAAAAATAAGTGGTGCATAGATTCCTCAGCTTGTTCACATATGCAGCAAGAGCTATCAACTTCCACACCATGGCCTTGCAAAGCCACTCGAGTTGGTAAGATTTCCCAGATGAATTTCCAAAGAAAATGCTTAATTTTTGGCAATGTGTCCATAAGCCACACAACTTTCTACACCGACTTCATAAGATCATTAAAATCATTAAAGTTCAACCCATAAACAGCATCCCATGCATATCTATATGTAGATTTCACTATAAATCTACCATTTGTCATATGATGCCAAATTAAACAATCATGCCTACATTGTCTGCTCAATGGAATATGTGTAATTTTCTCTATAGTGTCACTCGAGAACACCTATTGGAGTTTCGTTAAATTCCACTGGCAAGCACGCTGATCAATTAGTGAGCTTACTCTAGCATCCTTTGGAAGAGAACTGTCCTCATGAAGATTGGAAAGCACATTATTATCGGGAGCCACTGGTCCCTCCACATACAAACTGAAGCTCCATCTCCAATCTGCTAGTGCAAGCCCTTTATTAAAATGATAAGGCCAACCATGACTCCTCTCCACACCATAGAAATTTTATTTTTAGATGAATAAGATATTAAGTTTTATTTAAAATTGAATTGTAGTAGTCATTATCCTATAATTAAGTGTGGGTCCCAAGAATATGCAGCATATTATTTGTGGGACGCACAGCCTAATATTAATTGAGGGCTTATACAGTTGTCCAATGGGTATTTATATAGTTATAATATTTACTTATATTTTAATAGTCCTAATATTCTATAGTTGTGGGACCGACAATCTCATTAGTATATAATTATAAATATTTATAAATTAAGTGGAGTATTTTAGATTTATTTCCTAATATTATTAAGAAATTTATGATTGAATGATTCTTACTCATAGTATTTAGAGATTTTTTCCTGTTATATTAACGGATATTGATACATACACCCTTCAAAAGTTATATACTCTGTTACACATTGATGGTTTCCGTCAGTATGCCGTTAAAATTGACGGAAACCGTTAGTTTTAATAGTAGAAATAATGAAAACCATCAATTTTAATGGCACAAGTAACAGAAACTGTCAATCTTAATGGCACATTAACGGAAACCGTTAGTATGTAATGGAGTGTATAACTTTAGAGGGTGTATGTATCATTTCCCTATTTTAATTCTTAGTTCATTAAGCTAGGTATTTATTTGAAAATTTTAAATTCATTGGGGATTTATTGATGATTTTTTTTTTAAAGTCCAATGAGTATTTATCTTAAAAATTTTAAACCAATTAGGTATTTTTATTGATGATTTTTTTTATAAAAAAAAAACTAATTGAGGATTTATTTAAGAATTTTAAGAATAATTTTATTGTTGCATTAATTTTATATATAGTTAAAATATATAATTCAATATTTAGAAATCTTGAATGATTATTCATGACAACTGTAAACTCTCAAGTTTTGTAGCTAAAGGCAAAGAGCAACTACCTATTCATTAGTTTCAAGATTCAAGACCAGAAGGGGGTGATAGACAAACTGGGACAACCTTAGGAATCCTATACGAGGATTTCACTTCTTCTCTTTCTGAGAAAGAATGTTGTTATGCATCCTATGATTTTGATTTTGTAAAAATTAATATGTGGGTTTCAATACCAAATTTACATATAATCTAAAATCAATTAACTATAAGTGGAGTGACTTTTTTTGTATTTAACTCACATGCTTTTTATTATTTTTTCGGTGTGAAATTTTCTCATTCAACAAATTTTTGCACAAATGAGAATTGCCAAAAAAGCAAAATCTTCTTCATTGCCAGAGTAATTATTAATTGATTAATTTTCACCGATATATAGTTACAAATACATAAATTAAGAGGCATACCAAAATTTAATTATAACGTATGTTGTAGGGTGCTTGATATATCTATCAAAGGTGAGTAAGACATTAGCTAATTTTTTAAATTAAAATATTTTTACCACAATAAAATCTTGGAAGTTAGGGTGGTAAATCTATAAAGAGAAATTCTCTTAAATTAAATTAAATTTATTTATGAAATAATTAAATTATCCATAAAGTGAAGGGTATTTGAGGTCATTTGGCAAGCTTCCTTTGGCTATAAATAGGCCATTCATTGGATGAAAAAGGGGGAAAAAGAGAAGAAGGAGAAAAGAAGAGGAATAGGAAGCTTCAAGCCTTTCAACAATTCTCAAAGTTCTAAATTCCAACTAAGGAAGGTTTCAACTTTCTACCAAGGAGGAAAGTTTCAAAGACAAATCTCAAATCCCTTAAAGGACAAGATCAAGCTAAGACCCTTGCCCTTCTAAATTCAATTGTTAATCAAAGGATTGTGCTATTTTAGGATGCACCATCATTTAAAATTTGAGTGCGTACATTGTAACACCCCAAACTAGAGATTGTTTCCCATTTCTTTTAAATTCGTTGTAATTTATATTTATTGTTTGGGAAAAAGCGCATATCAGTCCCAACTCCCAAAAATAATTAGAGTTTCAATCTTAAATTAAGTCATTTTATTTAATTAAAATTCAATTCAAAATTTAAAAAATTATCTTATTAAATGTTGATATATTAGAATATATAATAGGTTTCCAAATTTAGATATCAACATTTAATAAAATAAGATTTCAATTCCTAGATGTAGGTTGGGACTTTAATTATTTTTCGGAGTTGGGATTGATACGCATTAACCTCTTATTATTTTACAAATCAATATACATTTTGCAAATTTTTTGACTACAATGAGAAATAAGATGTTACATGCGAGCTCCAAAAACGAATTCGAGGAGTTGGATGGGATTCAAGTTGAGTTACAAGCAACCCATCTTAACTATCGATGGATCTTAACAAGTGGAGTTAAAGGCAATCTTCTTATACCTATTGATAGAAGAGTAGGCCTTTGATATTAAGACCTAACTTTCCATCAATGTTTAAAAGAAGTACAATATTGTAAAAGTGCATTTTCTTATTTGAAAATCGTTCATCTAGTTTTTGCAACTTACCAAAACAATTATTTTTAGTTTTCAAAATAAAAAATTTTATACAAGGATACTAAACAAACCATAAAATATCATTAAAAAAAAAAGAGATTTTAATTTTAGACTAAAAAAATTATTGTCAGTTTTCTAAAAGAAATGGAATGAACTAATTATACCCCTAAATGTTACCAACTAATCCTTATTTTTATGCCTCAATTGGTTAATAATTTAAATTTTAAATTTTGAATTAAGTAGGGAAGGATTTGGAAAAAAATGAAGTGCTATCCACTCTCATATAATCAATCATCTTGTGCACTATAAAGGGAAATCATCATGTGATCAATGAGGCACTAATAATTTAGAAGGCATTGAGTCTTTTTCATCAATATTGAAAATGACAAAAATGTTGTTAATGGAATGCTTAACTGTATTTTTGGGTTGAGGGAAATAGAGAAGGGAGGGAAAGATTTTTTAATCAATTAAATTATAATGTTTTAAAAATGTTATAATTAGCTTAATTACTTAAAAAACTCTCTTTCTCCCCATTTCCTTCAACCCAGACATACTATAAGTTGGTTGGTAATTAAGGGAGTAAAACAACAATTTTTTGATTAAAGGGTAAAGTAGCAAGTGGGAGTTGCAGCCTGTAGGCAATCGATGCTAGTGAAATGATCCTAGACACATTGTAAAAGCCTGAGCACCCTAAACATGCAAGGTTCACGATTTTCCTACAATCACATTGTTTGTAAGAGTATTGTTGTTTATTTTTGGTTGTTAATTTCTTTGCTGCATGTCTTCTATCACATTGGTTTTATTATTCTTAAACCATGTAGTTTAATTAATGTAATATTCATGATATATACTTTAATTTCTCATATCTTATCATCTTTTTTTTTTCTCTTGTATTTTTTTTTTTTGTAATTAATTGGTATTTAAAAGTAAAATCGATATTCTTACTTACATTTTAGATAATTAAAGGGAAAATATATTAATTTTTTTTAAAAAAAATACCTTTCTAATAAGAAAGAACATTTTTTCTCATGTATATATTTAGGAAAATATATGCTCCTATTATTTTAAAATATAAAATATTTAACTTTTTTATACGTATTTTTAAGTAATATTTTTTAATAATATATTAATAATAATTGAATTTTTTTATCAAATAAATTAAACTACCTAATAAGAATTACTAAAAAAATTTTAATTATCATTTATTTATTATAAAAAAGTATTACTTAAAACATATATAAAAATATATTTTAAAACTTCATATTTTGAAACAAAAGGAGTATCTCATGTATTGGTCTTCGGAAAACCATTCTTCACAATCCAAGAAGATTGCTTCAGACATGTTATTTAACTCACTCCTTTGAGTTTTATTTTAATGAATAGTTTTTGGGTTTTTCTATTTTGTATATAAAATAAAAGTACAATAATTATATTTTTTATAATTAATTTTTTTAAAAATGTAAATATTGAGTTCAATTTAATTGATTAATTAATTAAAATTATTTACATTTTAATGATGTTAAAATTTATTATTTTTTGTAATTAATTCACATTAAAAATTATGATTTTAATAAAAATTAATTAAAAAAAATATATTTATTATATTTTTAATTCATACCCTTAAAATACGGATTATATAAATTTATAGTTTTTTTATTTCCGGAAAAACTAAGGTTGCTGCACTTAACCCTTCAGATATAGTGACTGTCGGCCACCTTAAGGTACACCTTCCTCTCCAAAATTCTAGCCCGGCCAATGTCAATATTGTTATAAAAAAAAAAAAAAAAAAATACACAGGTTGCTCCAAGATTTGACAGTTATTTCCCGAGACCCCCATCTCCACGTTGCATAATAGCAGCACAAGACCTTTAAAACTTGTATTTTGGGGTCAAAGATATGATTTTCCAGCCTTCACGTTCCCAACAGTACCACAAGAACAGTAAAAGCTATATTATTATGGTGGGGCAAAAGACTTGTAAAAGGAAGAAATAAAATTAACGAACCCTACCGCGTGCGTGATTCACAACCCAGAACGCTTGGTCCTAATTAATTAAGTTGACTTAAGACCAAAAAGACTTCCAAGTCTTGGAAAAATAACTCGACTCATCAAGACTTCGAAAAGCAAAAAGATGATAGTCGGTTCCTCGCGATCTTTTTCTTTGGAGTAATTTAAGGGATAATTATTTTACGTACGTAACACCTTCCCGTGACATCATACCTAAAAATTTTTAAATAAAGTAATAAACATAGGTTGCATTCTATCTATATTTAAAAATACTCATAATTAATAAAAGTAGGAAGTATTAGTTTACCATCTAAAAATACTTACAATTAATAAAAATAGGTAGTATTAGTTTACCATTACTCATAATTTCTTTTTATTTTAGCTGAAATTTTTATAATTCAACTAACATAAATGCCCCAAAAAAAAGTTATTCTTAATTTCTAAGGATGTGTTTAGTATATAGAAGTTTGTGTTTAGTAGTTTGTAGTTTGAAATTTAAACTAATCAAAAGAGTAAATATATTTACATTATAAAAAAATAAGAGATTATAAAAAATTAAGATATGTTAATAATTTGAATGTTAAAAATAATAATTAAAAGATTAAATACCTTTAATAAATTAATGTAATAAAAAATTTATTAAAATATTTAAATAATTTTACTAACACTCTAATATTTTAAATATTAGTGTATTTTAAATTTTAATTCTCTAAAGCAAAAATATATATACCCATTCAATATTAACTACTAATTATATTTAAAGTGGGATCAATTTACACTAATATGAATTTATGAAATACTTACATTAATTAGTTTTATATCAATGATTTATTAGGTATGTTGTCCTTTTAATTAGAAGCCAATCACTATTGACAAAACATACAAATTAGAAAAATTATCTGTATGAACTATATAAAAATTAATTGAAAGTAGCACTTATTTATCTTATTTTTTAAAATTATAGAAAATTATTTTTAAAACTATATTATTTTAATAAAATATAAAAAAATAAAAACATTCTAATCATATTTTAAGAATAAAATATTTTAATTTTTTAATAAATATTTATTAAAATAATATAATTTTAAAATTATTTTTTAAAATTTTTAAAAACTAAAATAGATAAACACTCTTCTTAAATTATTTTTTAGTTCTACTTTATTTTAAAATATTAATTGAGTTTTTTTAACAAATATCTCCCTCATAACTATATCACACGTTAACGGGTCATTGATGCTAGTTGATTTAAAGGTGCGGGGCTTGCCCAGGAAGGCTATTAAACAAAGGAAAGATTAAAAGAAAGTACTCAAATACATGGCATCTTAATTTTTAAAAAACGACAGCATATATTATGTTTAAAATTTATTTAATTTATATTTTAAAAATATAAGTTAAAGATATTAAAATATATCATTTTTTTATAATTAATTCATATTAAAAATTATAATTTTAATATAAATTAATTAAAAAATATATATTTATTATATTTTTAATTCATACCCTTAAAATACAAATTATACAAATTCATAGTTTTTTGATTTCCAAAAAAGCTAAGGTTGCTCCAAGATTTGACGGTTATTTCCCAAGATCCCCATCTCCACGTTGCATAATAGCAGCACAAGACCTTTAAAACTTGTATTTTGGGGTCGAAGATGTGATTTTCCAGTCTTCACGTTGCCCAACGGTATCACAAGAACTGTAAAAGCTATATTATTATGGTGGGGCAAAAGACTTGTAAAAGGAAGAAATAAAATGAACGAACCCTACCGCGTGCGTGATTCACAACCCAAAACGCTTGGTCCTAATTAATTAAGTTGACTTAAGACCAAAAAGACTTCCAAGTCTTGGAAAAATAACTCGACTCATCAAGACTTGGAAAAGCAAAAAGATGATTGTCGGTTCCTCGGGATCTTTTTCTTTAGAGTAATTTAAGGGATAATTATTTTACCAACCCAACACCTTCCCGTGACATCATATCTAAAAGTTTTTAAATTAAGTAATAAACATAGGTTGTATTCTATCTATATCTAAAAATATTCATAATTAATAAAAGTAGGTAATATTAGTTTACTATCTAAAAATACTCACAATTAATAAAAATAGGTAGTATTAGTTTACCATTACTCATAATTTCTTTTTATTTTAGCTGAAATTTTTATAATTCAACTAACATAAATGCC